TGTGTGTGTGTGTGTGTGTGTGTGTGTGTGTGTGTGTGTGTGTGTGTTACATGGCATTTAGTTTGTTTACGAGAATGAACAGTCAGCATGAACCTTTAACCTGTGTTACACAATCTCCCTAAAAGCTTGATGAGCTCCAAGACAGCTAGGGTTATTTTAGGGAGAACCTGTCTAGATAGATAGATAGATAGATAGATAGATAGATAGATAGATAGATAGATGGATAGATAGATAGTAAGTAGATAGATAGTAGATAGACATAAATATAAATAGATAGATAAGATAGATAAATACAAATATAAATAAAAAATAAAAAAGATTTGGAGTAGGTATTCTGGGAGCTTTGAGATATTCTGTCCAGTTGCTAAGCATACCTTTTTACCATACCATTCCTGTGCCAATGAATTTCAATTTAGTAACGAATAGTTTCTTTATTAGGTAAATGAGGAGGATGAAAGCCAAGATATAGAAACAGTTTTTAAAGAGTACCGCCCTGGAAAACTCAAACTCAGTTTTGAGGAAATAGAAAGGCAAAGGAGAGAAGATGAAAAAAGAAAAGCAGAGGAGGAGGCCCGGAGGAGAATAGAGGAAGAGAAGAAGGCATTTGCTGAAGCAAGGAGAAGCATGGTAAGATGAAGCTAACTGAACAATATTTTGGAATTCAGCAATGTAGGGGTAGTGTGTGGACGTGTGTGAGCATGCGCTTACACATACACGAGGTTGCACAAGCTAGGAAAGCCAGATAATAACCCTGGGTGTCATTCTCAGGAATGCTGTCCCTTTTGACGGGCTAGCAGTCTGACGAATCATTTTCTGCTTCCACAGTGCTGGGATTAGAGGTGTGCACCTAGTTTTACTCTGGGAACTGAACTTGGGTCCTCAAGGATTCAGTTTTTACAAGGTGTGAATGAAATGACTAGAGTCTGAGGAACACCCAACCCCATCATCTCTGAAATCTGTACCAAAAGTATGAATGCCAAATACTTGTCAGCATTTGCTTCAGTTGGCGTTGAAAAAAAAAGATCTGATTATCAATGCTATGCTTGGCATAAAAGGTTGGAAACTATCATCCTTGTCTGAAAAGATCTTCTAGACCAGATCAGAGTGTCAAGAAACAAAACAAAACAAAACAAAACAAAACAAAACAAAACACAATTTCCCCCTAGTTTCCCTCCTTCCATCCCTTCATTGTCCCTTTCTCCTTTTCTTGCCATTTTAATCCCAATCTATATTAGATGACTAAAGTCATTTAATCATAATTATCTAACTTCATTCTTTTTTACATATTGATACCTAATTTATCAAAGTTACATTTTTCATGCCATATTTGTAGAATCTGATCAATCATTTTGACATATGTACACTTCACCCGTTTTATATTTTAATTTGCTACTGATGAAATAGCCTAGTATTTGTGCTTGCCTGGGTAATCTTTCAACACATATAGCTAAGTTTTTGGTTTAATCATTTGCCCATACACTCAAACCAGAAACTCAGGAACTTGAAATATACTTTCACCTTTTCATTCATGCATAACTGGCTATAAACTTCCATTTATTTGACCCCCTGACTTACTCTCCCTTCTTCACTACTGTAATCCATATCATTGTTGCTATTTCTTGCCTGGGACCAAGTCCTAATTTGCTTGCTTTCTTGCCTCTGAGTCCAAGAGAGGCCCTTTCACTCCGTGTCTGTGTCTTCAGGCCACAGTTCTCATCAAAGTTCTTATCTCCAGGAGACAGAAAAACAAAATTAGATTATTTTTTCATGGTAAAATGTATCTAACATCAGCAACTTACAAGCAAATGTTTTAGCTGCAATTTTGGGATTACTTCTATTCAGGACATGATAGTATAATAAAACTGTTATTAGGGACTGGGAAGATGGCTCCATTGGGTAAAACTACCATTAAGCCTGATGATCTGAGTTCACTCCTGGACAGAAGCATGGTAAGAACAGAGAACTGACTCCTGAAATTTTTCTGATAAATATTAAAAGTTAAAGCACTCCAGGGGGGCTGGAGAGATGGCTCAGGGGTTAAGAGCATTGCCTGCTTTTCCAGAGCACCCAGGTTCAATTCCCAGTACCCACATGGCAGTTTACAACTATCTGTAACTCCAGTTCCAGGGATCTGATACCCTCAAACAGACACATGCAGGCAAAACACCAATGCAAATAAAATAAAATTAAAACCCTCCTATTGGGAGCCTACCATGATGTTAGACAGTGCATTCTGTATTTCTAAGCTTCATTTAATCCAGTGAGAATTGTAAGAAAATTCTCACAGGAAGGCTCAGAGGGGTGAGTAGCTTGCCCAAGGTCACAATCAATCTTATTCATACAAATTTACAAAATTATAAAAAGCAGTCTGGTATTCACATTTCATGTAGCATATAAATAGGTTTCACTATGACAATTGCCTACATATATAAATATTTTTTACATTATTTATAATCTTATTGGAAATTCTCTGAAGCTTTCCTTCTGGCTTTTCTACTTGGTGTTTCTGTTGACTTTAGACAAGTTACTTTTCAGTCCGTTCCTCAGGTGAAAACCAAGCATATTAATCCTAAACTACTTTATAAGGTTACAGAGTTAGTAAATTTATGTATCTATAATCCAAACTGGCAGTTCTAACAATATATAAACTATTATTTCTTTAAAACATCTTGACAGCAAAACTTTTAGGCATTAAACTAATGGCCTTAAGGATTTTGGGGTTTTCTTTTTTTCTGATAAAAGATCATGATGATCCGGATGTCTCTTTATTAAGACTATAACTTAACTGAAATATTCTATTTTAGTGACCAGAACTGGAGATTCACTTCAGTCAGATTAAAATGTTAATATCAGACAATGCATGCTGGAGAGGATGTGGAGAAAGGGAAATGAACCCTCCTCAGTTGCTGGTGGGAATGTAAACTTGTACAACCACTTTGGAAATCAATCTGGCGCTTTCTCATACAATTAGGAATAGCACTTCCTCAAAGTCCAGCTATACCACTCCTAGGCATTTATCCAAAATATGCGCAAGTACACAACAAGGACATTTGTTCAACCATGTTTGTAGCAACTTTATTCGTAATAGCCAGAACCTGGAAACAACCTAGATGTCCCTCAACGGAGGAATGGATACAGAAATTGTGATACATTTACACAATAGAATACTACTCAGCAATTAAAAACGAGGAATTCATGAAATTTGCAGGCAAATGGTGGGATCTAGAAAAGATCATCCTGAGTGAGATATCCCAGAAGGAGAAAGACAAACACGGTATATACTCACTTATAAGTGGACACTATACGCATAATAGGATAAACATACTAAAATCTGTACACCTAAAGAAGCTAAGCGAGGAGGAGGACCCTAGGTAAGATGATCAATCCTCACTCAGAAAGACAAACGGGATAGACATTGTAAGGAGGAGAAAACAGGAAATAGGACAGAAGCCTACCACAGAGGGCCTCTGAAAGACTACCCAGCAGTGTATAAAAGCAGGTGCTAAGATTGATAACCAAACTTTGGGCAGAGTGCAGGGAATCATATGAAAGAAGGAGGAGATAGTAAGACCTGGAGAGGACAGAAGCTCCACAAGGAGAGCAACAGATCCAAAAAATCTGGGCCTAGGGGTCTTTTCTGAGACTAATACTTCAACCAAGGACCATTCGTGGATATAACCTAGAACCCCTGCTCAGAGTAGGCCATGGCAGCTCAGTATCCAAGTGGGTTCCCTAGTAATGGGAACAGGGACTGTCACTGTCTCGGACATGAATTCAGTGGCTGGCTCTCTGACACCCCTCCATCAGGGTGCAGCCCTGCCAGGCCACAGAGGAGGACAATGCAGCCAGTCCTGAGGAGACCTGATAGGCTAGGTTCAGATGGAAGGGGAGGAGGTCCTCCTCCCCTATCATTGGACTTGGAGAAGGGCATAGGAGATGAGGGAGGGAGGGTGGGGTTGGGCGGGCATGAGGGAGGGGCTACAGCTGGGATACAAAGTGAATAAACTAATATAAAAAGTAAATTAATTAAAATGTTAATATCATTAAAGAACATCAATTTCTAATTCAGATGACTCATTGTAGAAGTGAGTATTTTCTGTTCATTTGAATGGGGAATACATGTAGATGGTTACCATCCTCCACACCACAAATACCCACTTGTTCACTGGTTTGTGTTGTGAAAGTTCATTATCTCTGAATTTTTAGATCAACATAAAACACTTTTATTCAATTCACTTGTTTCTAGAAGAAATATTACCTTTTTAGTACACAATTCTAAAAAAAAAAAATGATAAAATATTTAAATAGGTGTTAGATGACGATTCCCCAGAGAGGTATAAAACAGTCTCTCAAGAATCTCTAATACCTGGAAAACTGGAAATTAATTTTGAAGAACTGTTAAAGCAAAAAATGGAAGAAGAAAGACGACGAACAGAGGAGGAACGGAGACATAAACTAGAAATGGAGAAACAGGAATTTGAGCAGCTGAGACAAGAAATGGGAAAGGTAAGGTATAAGAATGTTTACTTTGAGATCTAATATGTTCTTTATGTTGCCTTATTATGACCTTTCTGTATTATTAATCACATGAGGCTATCTGACCCTTTTCTGACATATATACTTAGTCAGATATATACAGCTGTATACACACACACACACACACACACACACACACACACACACACACACATATATACAGCTACCCTAGGTATGTCTGACCTGGTAGAGTGTAGCTAGGAATGTGGCCCAACACAACACTGAAAACTCACTTAAGACATGGATTGTTTTAGTAATGTATTTGCTGTAAGGAAACTGTTTCTCCTGTGTGAGCCTTGTAGGTAACAGTGTCATGGCACAATGACAAAAGGATAGCAAAGCTACTCTTCCAAAGGACTGAGACTCAATTCCAAGCACCCATGTGGTGGCTTAGAACCATCTATTAACGCCAGTTTTAGAGGATCCAATGCTGCATTTTGACCTATACAAGGCATGCATGTGGCATATACACATCAAGCAGGCAAAGCATTTATACATGAAAAATATAAAATCTAAAAAGCTTTCTCTTTTTTAAAGGAGCTATTATTAGCCAGGTGTGGTGGTACATGCCTATAATTCTAGCACTCTGGGAGCCAAAGGCAGGCAGATCTCTTTTGAGTTCAAGGCCAGCCTGGCCTACAAAGTGAGTCCAGGACATCCAAGGCTATACAGGGGAACCCTGTCTCAAAAAAGGAATAAAAAAAAAGCCAATATTGCATTTAATTGGGGTTCCAAAGCGCAATAGTATTGATGCTATCAATTCAATATGCCACACAGGCTTCCTTTATGTGAAAGGTTGTTAGTTCTTAGTAAGTCTTAAACTTAAAAAAATGTGTTTATCTTACGTCATGGGTGTTTTGCCTGCATGTATGTCTGGCACCTTGAGCACCATGGAGGCCAGAAACCGAACCCAAAACTCTTGAAAGATTAGCCAGTACTCTTAACCACAAAGGCATCTCTCCAACCCCAGAAATAAAACTCTTAAAAACAGTATATATAGGACTCCATTTGTCCTGTAGGTTCCAGGCATCCATTTGGTTGTCTTGAAACATACCCCTGAACAAAAGATGAGAGGAGGTCATCCATTGTAATTTGCTGGTATTTAACATACAAAAATATTAATCTTCTGAAGGAAGAAGAAGAAAATGAAACTTTTGGATTGAGTAGAGAATATGAAGAATTAATCAAGTTAAGAAGGAGTGGTTCTATTCAAGCTAAAAATCTAAAAAGCAAGTTTGAAAAAATTGGACAGTTGTCTGAAAAAGAAATACAGAAAAAGATAGAAGAAGAGCGGGCAAAAAGGAGAGCAATTGACCTTGAAATTAAAGAGCGAGAAGCAGAAAACTTCCACGAGGTACATTACTGTTGTATTTGTTAACATTGATGTTATTTAAACATAAGTCTTTGTATTTACACTTTGTTGTTGGTAAAAATGTAATAATTTAAGACCATTAAGCTCATATAGGACTTAAGAGTTCAAAAGGATTTGGAGGCAGGTATGAATAGGGTGCAGAGTGGAGGGGGAAAAATGGAATGGCAGCAAATAAAACCTAGAAATGAGCAAAGCAGAGTGATAGCCAACTTGTTCTAGGGACACACGAGTAAGCCAGGGGTATGACTGAAAACCACTTGTGCTGTACCATATCTATTGCCACGAAATCACATTGGACAGTGTACCTGAGGGGCTTGGAGAGCTAAGAAACAGGCATAGCTCCTCTAATGCTGTCTGGCTACTTGTGAGGCTTATGTAGAAAATCCTTTCACAGTGCCTTGAGATCCAAGCTATAAATAGCCCAGATTTAGCATTCTAGACCACCCCTACCAGGGAAACCAGTTAATGCTTGATTAAGGTCTGTTGAAGTTTTTGTTGTGTTAAGGCAAAGGCAGCGTGACACTGCTTTGGACTTGGTGAGATACAAGCATGTGTGTTGTAAAATTAGGAACAGCTGGAAGTAGTAAAATAATCCTGAAGAACACTAGCAATTACTGGCTGTGTGACAGGTCAAGTTAAAACTGAATTTTTAAACTTCACAAAGTAAAGTTCAACCTGGGTATGACTTGGGGGAGAGGCAGGATGCGTTCAAGGACAGTCTGGGTTCCAGGAGACCCTGTCTTAAAGCCCTAATCTGACAAACAGTTCCACCAATATGCAGTTGTTCTTCTCTTAAAGGCAGTCATTGTAAAACCTCTAAGAATGAAACTGGTAGGTTTGATGCATCACTACTTCTGGCTCTTAAGATGTGAGATTAGGATGTTAACTGTTTCTGGTGAACGCTGTCTTCTACCCACCTTGGATTAAGTCATTAAGAGCTTTTAAAAAGCTTTAAAGTTTTGACAACTTCCAGGGATGGACTTCCCCCTCAACCCCTAGAATCTATTACATCTATGTTCCTATGGAAGTGGTAGTGTACTCCTTTCAGGTACTCAGAAGGCAGAGGCAGATTAATGATTTTAATGCTAGCCAGGGTACTTAGTGAGACCATGTCTTGAGGTTGAGATTCAAGTATCTTCAAAATTAACATTCTAGACCTCAAGGTTCCATTCATCCATGTAAAAGAATCCAATGTCCAGCTGGGTGGTGGTGAAGCATGCCTTTAATCCCAGTACTCAGGAGAAAGAGATAACGTGGATCTGAGCTTAGGGCAAGCCTGGTTTAGAGTGAATTCTAGGCCAGCCAAGGCTACACGAGAAACTGTCTCAAAAATAATGTCCACTCATATGCTATTTTATATCATCTACTTGTTAACCAATTAAATGTCTTAGATAGGTTCAAGTCTTCTGTATCCCAGTCTGGCATCAGATAGCTCCTTCCTATCACCACTTAAAGCCTTAGGCCACCATACACAGGTGTGATGCTAAGAATCACATTTGATGCCTCATGCATGAAAACTCTCAGCCTAACTTGATTTTCTATGCTCTAATGTATCCCGAGTCAGTGTGTTGCTTTACTACCCTGTTACCAATATCAGTGCCTTATGACACCCATTCCATTTACATCACTTTCCCGCTTCCCTACAACAGAAGCCTAATTTTTCAAAGGTTCTAGAAAAGATAACATCAATGCTTTCATTGGTTCAGTCATGTCAGGAACAATTCTTTTGTTTATTCAAACCCTTTTGCTTTGAGTCATGGTTTCTCTGTGTACCCCTGGCTGTCCTGTCACTTGCTCTGTAGAACAGGCTGGCCTCAAGTGCTGCTTCTCAAGTGCTCCAAAGGCACACACCATTACCTGGGTAAACCTCTCATTTTCTAAACAATTTTGTGCTAAAAATAGTATAAAATATATTGTATATATAATTTATTAGGTTTCAGTTTAACAGTAGTTGGCATACTGGTTTAAGCATTCTCTCACATTTGGAAAGATTTGTGATCATGTTCTGGATCTTCCTAAATGTAACTGAAATGTGATCTGGGAAACCAAAAAACTTCCAAACTCTGAATCAAAGAATGTTTATGCCAAGATTTTCTGTACAGGTAACTAATGTATAGCGTGTTACACACACACACCATAATTGGCCTTTATTTTTTCATAGACCCATATACCTTACAATACGTGATCTTGCCCTTATATTTTCTGGCTTTCAAAGTTCATCCCTAAACAACTAACTCACCTTAGTCACAGAGTTCCCCAAATTCCAGATGCCTTTCCATTTCCTTAACTTTCTTTCCCTGACATCTGACCATAATTTGCTTAATTTCTAAGATCTCCAGAAGTAACAGAACATAGTAGGGCTATGTAAGAGTTTATTTCAGCTGGGAGTGGTGGTACATGGCAGACTTGGGAGGCAGGCACAGGCTGGTGTACAAAGCCAGGGCTCTAATATACAAAGAAACCGTCTAAGTTTGTTTTAAAAGTTGTCACTATGTAGGATTTTCTGCGAAGGTGTTTGTACATAAAAATGTCAAAGAACTTTCTTACAATTAGCACTAATAATTGTGAGTTGGGTACAAAGGGCCAGTCAAAAAAGCTAGCAATAAGGTGTGATCAAAGTATTATAAATTACAGAATCACTAACATATTAAGTTCTTGGCAAGCAATATTTATTCATTTATTTTAAAAGGAAGATGATGTTGACGTAAAGCCTGCAAAAAAAAGTGAATCTCCCTTTACTCATAAAGTGAACATGAGAGCCAGATTTGAACAAATGGCTAAAGCAAGAGAAGAGGAAGAACAAAGGAGAATTGAAGAACAAAAGTTACTACGAATGCAGTTTGAACAGAAAGAAATTGATGCGGCACTACAGAAGGTATGCATCTACCTAAACAATGATGGTGTGCTAAACATTTGCAAGTGATTAAGAAATGTCACAGCTCTCACGCCAGTGGAATGGTTTAAATAGTAATATAGTAATCATACTCCTTCAGTTCCACTAATGAATGAAAACCAAGGCATCATACATGCTAGCCTAGTACTCTTAACACTCAGCTATTTCCCAAACTTAAAAAAAAAAAAAAGTACGAGTGCTCTATCTGCATGAAAATCTGCATGCCAGAAGAGGGCATCAGATCCCAGTAAAGCTAGATGGCTGTGAGCTATATCCAAGTAGTTACTAGGAATTGAACCCAGGAACCTCTGGAAGAGCACACAGTGCTCTAAACGACTGAGCCATCTCTCCAGACCCCCAAACTTGTTCTTTTGCCTTCAAAATCCTATTACTAAAAATAAATACCATCTTGATAATGTACTTATCTTAATACAGAAACGAGAAGATGAGGAAGAAGAAGGTAGCATCATTAATGGATCCACTACTGAAGATGAAGAGCAAACCAGATCAGGAGCTCCATGGTTCAAAAAACCCCTAAAAAACACCTCAGTTGTAGACAGTGAGCCAGTCAGATTTACTGTTAAAGTAACAGGAGAACCCAAGCCAGAAATTACATGGTGGTTTGAAGGAGAAATACTGCAGGACGGAGAAGACTATCAATATATTGAAAGAGGTGAAACTTACTGCCTCTATTTACCAGAAACGTTCCCAGAAGATGGAGGAGAATACATGTGTAAAGCAGTCAACAATAAAGGCTCTGCAGCGAGTACCTGCATTCTTACCATTGAAAGTAAGAACCGCCTAGCTTTTAATTCTTTCTTTTAATTAGAAAGTAAATAGGAAAAAAATATCATTCTTCTTCTTCTTCTCTTTTTTTAGTGGACGACTACTAGGCTTCCTTCTTTCCTTGGAACTCACACTCTCTCTACAACTCTCTTGATACATCTCTGTGGAAGGGCCAAAAAAGACCAGAGGTGCCACTATGTTGACTTAATACCTTTTCCCAAATCTTTGAAACAGGAATTTAAAATCTTTGCCCGTATCTTCAAAATCTAAAGAATGTCTTTTCCAATGTTTATTACCATGCTGTGCAAAGTCAAAATGTAGTTGATGGGGAAGGGAAATGTGTTCATTCTCAGAACCCAAACAAAAGCTTTGTATTTTCCATATTCATAGCAATTATGCTTAATGCATACATAGTTTGCATGAATAAAATGAAGTTTTTATATCTAAAATTAGCCAATGACAACAAAATTGGAATTGACCAGTTCTTCTCTGTAGTACGTAACTGTAGAGTCCAAGTCTCTCTGAGGCAGGTATACGGACAAAGAAGGAACATGGAGAAGAAAACCCCAAGGAGGAATTGAGAAACTACTACTAAATTAAATTTGATAGAAACATGTATTTTTCAAATTATGTATATTTAATTTTCTGATAAACTATTATTTTATGTTGTGAAACCATAATAAAGTTTCTTGTGCATTAAAAGGTCCCTTTTCTCATTTTAAAAGCTATTTTATTATTTAGAATTAAAAAAGGCAAAAAACCACCAGTACTTTTCTCATAGTAAATCTTTAATGACAGGAAGGAGAAAATTGTAACTCAGTATACATATCAAAGACACAAAAAGAAAGAGCACTCTCTTTTAATAGTAATCACTGTACATTTATTTTTTAATTAAGGAAACGATAATACAAAATTACAACAATCACGTGCCCCTTTACATACAATGTTATTAAAGCAAAACTCTAAACCAGTTTGTAAAGTATTCAATTTACCTCAAGTCCAAGCTGCATCTCCCTAAGACACTGTTCCCATCACAGTAGCCATTTTAAGCCAATCTTCTTTTAACACACGGGTAGTTTCTGTAGAGAACACTTTTCTCAGGACGAAAATGCATCGAGCATGCACAAGAAAATATATATATATATATATATATATTCGCAAATACATTGAGTTTCTTTAGGGTATCACTGAAGAAAATAAAAACCCTGGGATTTATTTGCTTTTCTTTAAAGCACCAATTTAAAAATCCCTCAATTACAGTTGTAGTAAGTCAACTGACTGATAGTCAATAACCCAACAAAAAGTAGGATTATTTTCAGTCAAGTTATTTCTAAGTACTATGAAAATGCAATTTAAAGCCAGGTAAACTTTGCAGAGCTAAAACGAGATATCTCCAGCGACCAGTTAATTCTATATCAATATTCTAGACTACATGTAACTATTTTCAGAACTGTTTGTAATGGCAAGCGAACACAAACTTCTCTGAGACCACTTGTTATTCCTATCTAAACCCACTTGAATGAATTAACTACCCAAGGCATTTAAGAATACAACTAGTATAAATCAATTTTTAATATTAAAAATAATTCTCATTACTAAAAGAAGAACACGCATTTCTGAAACAAACATCAAAGCAACAAATTCTAAGTATCACTACACTAACATGTATGTCCTTTAAAAAAACCTGTAAACTTTGTTTAATTTTATGAGTTTACTTTCAATCTAAACCAATTTTCTACCACCCTTAAAATCTGTTGCATTCAAATCAACTGGCTCACCTTTTCTGCTTTCCATTTACGTAAAGTTAAGATTGGTGCTATTTAAAATGCTTACAGTACCAGTGAAGGTTCATGGAAATGAATTAAAAGTTCTCACAAGAAATATTCAAACAGTCCTCAATATCTATAAGCATTCACTTGGATTTCCAAACATAAACTACAACTAACCAAAACTTGACAGGTTCTAAAAATGTGCTTTCAACATACCGACCTCTCTCTCTCAAACACACACACACACACACACACACACACACACACACACACACACACACACACACACACACTCTAACCATAACTTAAGAAACTTAACAGTTCATGGAACATTTAAGTGAATAGCACTTTAAAATGGAAACTGGTCAAGAGCAGGTACATCACACCCTATACCATATTATGTATGGGAATACATTTCATATTTCTCAATTATGATTTGCCAATTTTACCTTCTACATTGAGCCCTTCTATGGTCCATGCTCATCGGCTCACCAATGGCATACACTCAAAGGATTCCTCTTTATGGGTAACTATCTCAGGACCTGATTTTATGAGCTATGATTTGGTGCTTGCAGCATCTTCAGCACTGTGTGTGAAAATGAAGGCAGTATTTTTGAATATTTTTCTTTGTTGTAAAGATAAGCAGGAGTTTTTAATAGGATCAGCACATTTTAGAAAATGAATAAAAGCAAAACTGATATGGTGCTGCTTTAAGACAGTCATTTAACTCAAAATATATACTAGTTAACATCATTCCTAGGAACACAAACATTTTAAACTGGCAAAAATTAATGCAGTGTAAGTTATTAAAATATTATAAATCAGAAACTTGATTATGCAGATTATGAAAGGTTATTTGTTATACAGTTAACATTTCACTGATGCACATGCCTTCTCTCAAAACTTACTGCCAGTATTCCTTATTCTTCCTTGTCAGCAAATACAAGTCATGAAAACAGAACTGTCTATGAAACTGACCCAAAATGTTCTTACTGAATTACTATACTTTACAGCAGTAATAATAAACAAGGAAAACAAAAAACAAAAGGCCTATAGGTATGGAGGGCAAAGAAAATGTCCTGTCATTCATACAAACAGGCTGTGAAGGCTGTTGAAATTTCTGACCAAATGATTTCTAAGTCTTAACTATTTAATTTTTCTTACTGTAACATTTCTATGACTTGGAGTGGGTGGGAAGGGGAAATACAAAAAGATTTGAATGGTTTTTCAGTTATAGCAGCAATCTACTCATTTTATTTTAATGAAAAAAAAAAAAAACAAAAAAAACAAAAAAACAAAAAAAAAAAAAACAAAAAACCATTAAACCAAAAATTGTAAACTGCTGCTTGAACAACTTAACAGATTTTCCACTAAAATGGTAGCATAAATAACAAAATACATTTGGGGAAGCAGTAGCAGATTGCTTTTGAGTACACAACCACAAAAACCTCACAGGGACAACATTATTATATTTATATATATATGTCCTTAGGTTGTGCTTACCTGTTGCTTTTTGCAGCAGAACCTAAGGTGGAAGGTCTGGGAAGGCACTGTGAAGTATAAATAATTGCACTGTTTGCAATTAATAAAGATTTTAAACTTTAAACGAATCAAAATCAACAGCCTCCAATTTGTGAATTATGATACTGAATCCAACTATTTCCTTCAGTTTAATTACTAAATGTATCACTTTCCTAGGTCATCTATGAAACAACATCATGCAAAATACTGAAATTGTTCATGTCAATACCCTACACTTAAGATCTTAACACATAACTCCTAAACTATTAAACTTCAAACTAGGACTACACATCTAGATCTAAAATAAGGGTAAGGGAAGTAACTTTAAGTTACATAAAACAATCGAAAACATTTCAAACATCCCACAACGAGCTGTACTGTTTTCTGCCCTATAATCTCAAGCATTTGACCTCATACAAACGGTGCTCCCCACAGATGATAGAACTAACATATTTACGGAAAGGTGTTAAGTGCTACATTGCTTATAATTTGCAAACTGAAAACCATTTCTGTCTTAAACATTTCAAGTCTTTCATATCACTATAAAAGATATGCATATTTTACACTGAAAAACAGCATTTTAGGAGCACCGATTAATACTATTCAACTTTTGTTAATGATCAATTTTCTTTAGCTATTAGCTAAAGCATATCAAAAATACTTACCATTAAGCTCACTTAAAAAAAAAATACAGAACTATGTATTACTCTACATTAAGAGGCAGTTATGGTTTCCCATGATATCAGCACTGTATTCCAACATAATATTCACACAAAATATAGCAATTACATTATGTGGAACATTGACAAAAAGATACTGTTGCAGTTCATCAATTTGTCATTTTGATGTACTTACAGTGCAATGCTCCTTGAAGGAACACAATCAAGGATGATACACAGCACAGTCCTCCTCACCCCTACAGAGCTAGTTCTATACTGGCTGGATCAAACCTGCACTTCAACAGACAATGGCAAGACAGACTGTATTTGCATGTAGTCTAATATATTAATATGCAAAGAGCCAACAAATATGCAGAGTAAAACAATGGTTTTCAACAAAATATCAGAACTTCAGCATGAATGTTAAAGAGTAATAAAATGATTCAAGTACACAAAAAATTAATTTGATTCAATGACTGGACTTGTGCATTACAAGACAAAGCTTATCTATACTGCAAAAAGGAAAAAAAAAAAAAAAAGCTTGAACGTTTTCATACCCCAAATGTTTCAATGGCAGATGCAATGTGGCTATACTTTCGCATTCTATTACTTTTCTATCCTAAATTTAGAAAGAAACACACTATTATATAATATATATACACATTGAAAGAGTGGCTTTTACATGAAAAAAAAAAAAACAAAAAAAACAAAAAAAAAAAACAAAACAAAAAGCTTCTTATAAACTACTCAAATCACTGTCTGAAAACTGTTCAAAATTAGTTATGCTGAAACAGTCTTGGAAATAAGAACAGGAAGGTTAACTGTTGTAGCAGCAGTACAGGTCTGAAACAGTGCTCATGTATAAAAGGAAATTTCACTGTTAATGCAATGGAAGTATACTAAAGATCATTGTATACACATGCAGATTTTAACCAAACAGAAGGAAAAAAATGAAGATATCAGGATTACTTGTGCTGAAATAGCCAAACACAACAGAAAAGATCCTCCAATCTACCACTATACTGCAAGGGGAAAAAAAAACATGCCAGTGTTTAAAAACTCAGTAATTCATGGGGAAAGCTTATATATTTGTGTATATGTATCTTAATTTATCACTGTTAAGAAATTCTGAATCCTTTACCCACATATCCAACTTACCGACACAGGAGGTTTCATATCATTTATTGTAAAGCACAAAACAGGCATTTTAAAAGTGAAAGTATACATTGAAAAAGTACATTTATATCACAAAGCATCGACCACATAATAGTTGCAAATACATTTGCTGGAATGTGTACATCTACACTAAAGACTAAAAACAAACCAATTTTCATTTCTACACAGAAATATTAACCTCCTATCAGTAGTGATAGATATTTTGTACATTTTCAAAATAAAAAAGGGGGAGAAAAACACTACTTTAAACCAAAAACAAAATTAAGATCTTCATCAAGTCGTCTGCATCCATATATTTAACAAAGGTTTTTTCCCCCACACAATGAAGCAAATACTGTATTGTCCACTTCTTATTATTGGCCCTGTGCAGAAGAGATACATAAGAGATACACAAAAAGTTAAAGAAAATCCTTTAAATGGAGCTAACTCAGGAGTGAATCCTTTAAGAAAGAAAAACTGGTTAATATATATGATGGTGGCTTCTTGCATGATTTGCAAATCCCTGGGGGAAGAAAATTTATTTTTAAAATCAAAGGCAATATAAAAATAGCACTCAGATGCCAGAAAGCATTATTAGAAAAACCAAATCCCCAAACACACTACAGCATCTCATTGTCATGTAGTTATACTTTACCAAGTAAAAAGTAAAACATACTCCCAAACAGACAACATGCAGAAAACAAGGTGGAGTGAAAACAAAAACAGAAAAGCAAGTACATTATACCTGAGGTGCTGGAGGATGCTGTGGCATTCCCTGGGGACTTGTCTGGGCATAGTATGCTGCTTGCTGTCTATAGTATTCAGCCCAGGCTGCACTATAATCTGGCTGGCCACCTGGTGGTGCCCCAGTAGGAGCAGGAACTGCTTGACCTTCAGGAAAACAGAGGAACTTTATTGCTTCAACTATATTTAAACATCTCACAGAATTATTATCTACTAAAGATAATACCTTGCTTCTTGTAATATTCCTCCCAAGCCTTTGAATAATCTTGTGTCTGCCCCTGTTGACCTCAAAAGAACCCCTAAATTTTATTACAAAATTGTATCTACTGTGAGCACAGCTTATAATGATAGGCATAGAGGGGCAATAGTTCTTGTTTATCTTGACACAGGGTTTCACTTATTTAGCAGTCTGGCTCAGAATTTGTAATCCTCTTGCCAAATTCCCAAGTGCTGGGACTATGTATGTGTGTCTCATTGACCCTTCAGTTACTGTTTACATTAAATATGCCTTAAAGAGAGGGGGAGAATGAAAAAAAAAAGTGAGGCACACATATGAACAGAAAAATACGCTGTTTTCTATACATCTCAATCATATTTTGTCCTTTAGTTTAGCACGCTATTAATAAAGATAAAATAACCCAAACACACATATCTTTAAACAAAGGGGAAGATTCAGACATAATCTTTGCCAATCAAAGAGAGAACCTATGTTTTGTTCCTCTTTTTTTTTTTGTTTATTGAGACAGGGTCTCTCTGTGTAGACCAGGCTGGCCTCGAACTCACAAAAATATTGCTGCCTCTGCCTCCCTGTTTTAAACTGAGAAAAGGTCTCACTATCCAGCTTGGCTGGCCACATCCTCAGAGCCCCTGCTTCCTAAATACTAGGATTAAAGGGATGTGCCACCATACCTGGCTCACTATTCATTTATCCACTTGGGTTACCTGTTATATCATTAGTCTTAAACTACAACAGAGAACTACTGAAAAATACTTAAAATACAAATACACATGATACAAAAGACATACTGTGTTCGTATCAGAGTACAGCTCTGCTAAAAAATAACCTGGCAATAAAACATGTAAAACTCAGTTTGTTTGTTTGTTTTTTTTTGGTTTCTGGGCAGAGAGACCATTCTGAGTTTTCAAATGAGAAATAAATTCATCAAATCTTAGGCATACTCAACAGGTTTTGTAAATAAGTTAACTACAGAAGACAGTTTCTTGACAGGGACAATGCAATAGTTAAGAACAGAGGGTATTATTCAATATATTTGAGACAAATTGGTCTGCAATTTACTTTGTAATGGCTCAACATAAAATACAGAAAAAGAACATTTGGCCAAACAAACTGGCCAAGCTTACAACTGATGCACAATTTTTCTAACTTTATAATTTCCAAAGCAACACCTCCCAACAAAAGAAACAAACAAACAAAAAACCTACAGAGAGCATGTACAGCATGTCCTATTTGTAGCTATTTGCACTAAACTGTGAGCAGACAAAAGGGACACTTTTCACATTTTTTTAGATTCAGAAAGCTGCTCAGAGTATAGGCCAGCTGTGTGAATAAAACCTGAGATTTATGACCCTTAAGTTTTAAAATGTGTGGGAAAAGGGCTTGTTTGGGCAATGTAAAAACATTTTCAATATTATAAAAATTCCCATATTCCATAAATAACTTCTCAGTGTTTAACAAAAGGACCCTGTAAAGGGATAAGTTTCAGTATTTAGAAAATTCTCAAGTACCAAAACCATAAAATATCCTTTATAAGCTGTACATGTGAGAACACCCTGATTATGGATAATGATATACAGTACAGAAAAAAACCAGACAAGTAAAGTACCCTTCAGGCTCACAGTGTCTTAAAAAACAAAACAAAGAAAAAAAACCCTCCAAATCCCCCCAAATTAAAAGCTGTCAAAATTTGATATTCTAAAATGTCTAAGACAATGGTTGTCAACTTGTGGGTAGTGACCCCTTTGGAAGGTGGCTGAACAACCTTTCACAGAAGTCACATATCAGATATCCTTAACATCAGATATTTACATCATGACGCAAAGCAGTAACAAAATTAGTTTTAAAGTAGCAATGAAAATTTTATAGCTGGCGTCACCTTTACATGAGGGAGGCACTGTACTGGAAGGTCACAGCTTTAGAAGTTGAGGACCACTATTGTAAGAAAAGCCCATTCCACTGAGCTGGAGGCAGATCAAGAGCTGACTTAACACTTCCTTCCCTCTAGACCTCACATGCTCTCCTCTCTTCTCCTCATACATAACCTTATGTCCCACTCCCTTAATACTGTATTTCTGTCACTGCTCTATATCATAGCAGAATACTACCCAATAATTATATATAGCTCAATATTAATAAAATTTCACTATTTCTACAGACCCATCTGTATTGAATAGATCATCATGCTCAGTTATTTCTTGATAAACCTGCATTTGTTTATCAGGTATTTCCTCTGGGCTTCAAGGTATTCTAAGATGTATTCAGAGGCCACCATATCAGTACTTAACAGTATAAGTCACAAATGTACGAGGCATATGCTATACTCAATATTAAGTCTTCAGTCTCAGCACCAGTGTTTTTAACCACTGAGCAATCTCACCGCCTTACAAGTGCTCTTAAAAACACTTCCCAGCATGGCTTCACTTATTTTCCTCCAAAACAGGAATTACCATACTTTTAACTCAGATACTTAATTCTTTACAGAAATTTTTATTCTACACAACCTTCACCACTCCATATTCTGTTCTTCCTTATGACTTAAAACACGTTTTCTTTCGATCTAGAATCTCTGGAGTTTTCATGGCATTATCCCAGGCAATTCAGATGTTTTAGTAGAGGTTTGCTACTAAGAAAATGTTGACACATTTAAGTCTATTAGCAGCATTTTTTTTTTTTTAAAGAGAAAAAGCTTGAATTAGGGTTTCAAGTCTGTGTGAATAATCTAAGCATGGTAACATAGCCTGTAATCTCAGCCTTAGGAAGTGGAGTGAAGGTAGCAGTGACAAGAGTCCAAAATCACCCTCAGCTACATAATGGTTTCAACTGCAGCTACAGCCTAAGTTATATAAGACTCTTTTTCAACAAAAACAACCACCCATCAATGAAACTCCACAAAACACCTGAAGGGGAGAACTCAACTACCCAAGAAATAAAACCCCAACAACTCTGCTTGCCTAGTTTATAAAGAGGGTATGTGGAGACAAGATTATACTCAAGGAACCAGGAAATATAGCCAGGCTATTTGGGAAAGTCAGGTAAGAAAAATGATTTTGGAGATAGAAAAATCCACACACCCACACTAGAGACTGAATCCAGAGCCTATGAATGGCAGCCAAGCACTATACTAAATAAACTAAAAACTATGAGCCTCAAGATTTTTATTTCTCAATTTTCTTCTCCCTTCTTCTATTCAAAACACATCAAGATTGAACTTTTTTTTAGGTATGGATACAATGCATGTGTGCATGCACATAAGGCCAGAGGAAGCCATCAGGCATCTTCCTTTATTCCTCCATACTCACTCCCCCTACTCTGGCCCCCTTTCCTGAATCCAAAGATGGCCAGCAAGCACCTGAGAACTGCTTTAAACTGGTGTTAGTGCGACATGCCTGGGTTTTTAGGATGGTTAGTGGGGATTTGAACCTAGGTCCTTAAATACCCTTACCCATCTACTTCCTCAGCCCCTAGACTGAACCTTCTTTGCTTTAAGGTCTCTTACTTGTGATTATCCTAAAAAGATATTCATGATACTACTCTGAGAAAAAATTGCAGTAGTTAAATATTTATAAAGAGAAATTTTACAAGAAAAAATAATTTGTGTAACTATGTACAATTAAAAATGCTTATCACCCCCTTTTTTATTTTTCAATGCATACAAATGTTTGATATCACATATAACTACTTTCTTTGGTGCTCTAAAATTTAACCTTATTTTATTTAGACCACTACACAAAAGTACAGTAATAATTAAAGCCATATATTGTTTCCTGGTAAAGTTTTCTGGTAAAGAAATTTCTAGTTTTAATTACTAACTTGCTGACAACTGCATCTTCTTGCCATATAAGCACAATTTTCAGAATTTCTTGAAATGCCCTTAATATGACTTAAACTCCAATGATTTTTAGAACGTTATCTTTCTTGTTAATATTTTTTGTTTTTTAAGACAAAAAATAATCTCTGTGTAACAGTCCTGACTCTACAAAAGCCTCAAATTCACAAGAGATCTGTCAGCCTCTGCCTTCCTAATACTAGGATTAAAGGCATGTACCACTACTGTCCAGCTTCTTTAATATTCTCAACTTTAACATTATAAAAACATATAGATGAGTTATCTAAAGTAGTAAAAACAGAACAAATGCTCTATTACAAAACCTAACTTGTACATTTACTTAATAGAATAAAATGTATATACTTAAAACATATAGCATACCCATTTTCTTGTAGTACTCTTCCCAAGCCTTTGTATAATCAACCTGACCAGCTGGAGCTGGAGCCTGCTGATCTCCTTTTTAAAAGACAAAACAGTAAAAACACAATTTAAGTTTTTGAAGGCAATGTTTACACTTTTCCCTCTGTACCATGAGCACAGGAACTAGCACTATCTACAGCAGAGCTGTGTACTAGAGTGTACTTAATGGGGATATACAGCAGTGGCTACAGAAGGGGTGAACAGAGAAACTGGTAACATGGGATACTAAGGAAATGAACATGAGTCTAGTTTCTAAATTCTATCCTTGAAAAAAAGTGACTCAATGATTGGAGCTCAGACAACAAAGTATCCTACTGTGTTAGGTACTAAGGAAGTACCTGAAGAATGTCAGTAGGACACCAGAACCATTTAGAAGAAAATCCCAAACACCCAAAAATCTAGGATAATATAATGAAATGAATTAAAGGAAAACTATTCCTTATAGTAAAACAGGAGCTAATAGTTATGGTAATTGTAATACTAAGGCAGGGTTTATTAATATAGTCTAAGGCTGAGGGAGATGTTCAATGACTAGGATAGTGACATTATTCCAGTAAAATACCACGTAATTCCTTACAATAAGTGGTGGTATCATAGTACAAAGACCTGCAGGTAGAGTATGACCATTTTAATTAATGATCAGGTTAGTATTCCAAGGTACCCAGGTTGACATCTACCTCACAGTTGAGTTATACTGTTCTTAGAGGCAAAAAGAAGATTAAAAAACTGCTCGATTTTGATGAGTTGACAGACCTAACGAAAACACTGGGACAGTTGGTGAATCTAAGCAAGGGCTGTGTACAATAGTGGTATATCACTGTTGGGTAACTGACTTTAAAGTTCATGATGGCTATGTGTTTTGGAACAAGTATCTTAAGTATGCATAAGGGTAATGACTTCATGATTACAAGTATAGTTTTCAGTTCTTTTCATAACTAACGATAACACACATATGTATCAGGGCAATAGAGTAAATGGAGGACAAGAGTTAATAGTCTACTTTAGCATTCTGGGCCTCATTCTCTTGACTTTTATTAAAGTTTGTTTACCCAAAATTACAACTGAGTCTTCAAAATCTTAGGCCTGGGGATCTAACCTAATGATATAGTGTTTGTTTGGTTTGTACAAGGCACTGGGTACAAACCCCAGGACTGAAAGTAAAAGAATGAATATTTAGCTATGACACAGTAATGCATTTCATATATTAATTCAAACACAAGCTCTGGCTAGAAAATAGAAAATAAAAAGCTTTAATTACCGTAGTTACCTTGTCCATTCGTTTGGGTTGTGGTTGGTGCCCCTGCAGGAGCTGCAGGCGGGGGCTGTGCCTGCTGTTGGTAATAGTGAGCATAATAAGCAGCCCATGCTGCTGAGTTTGGATCTGTTCCTGCCTTTGCTAAAATTAAAATAAAAAGAGAAATTTCTAGGTTTATATGTAGACTCCAAAATCAATCTTTATCTTTCTGGGGATTCCTGACAAACAGGCTCAAGAGCTAACAGCAGCAAATGGAAACTTTCAAAGTTATCACTTGGCTTTTAGTTTACAAACTTGGGTCTCCAGTAATTTCCTAGGTTACAGAACTAGTGAATGGTGGAACTGGGATATGAATAGATAACCTTTTGGCTTCAAATCCAATGGATTGTCTCAGACCAATTCTGTTTTTATCTGCAAAGTGAAACAGTTCTGTATGGAATACAGCTATGGATGGGCTAATTTATACAAGAAAGATTAGATAGATGCATGCAGTTTATACTTCACAACAGCCACAATCTTGAAATTACTGCTGTCATGAACTTTTCTAAAACCTTCAGAATATTCCAAGCACACTTTGTCATTTGGGATCTCCTGATAACACATTTCTGAGACCATTCCCCATGTGACACAGGCTGGTCCATTGCTGGGATTACGTGTGTGTGCGCCCTCTGCTGTCACTGTCTGACATGATATGGACTTCCTAGTTTACCTTTTTGTGTAAGAGCATGCCTGCTCATGTGAATGGAGGCCAGAAATTGACTTTGGATGGTCTCCTAAATTGTTTCACTTTGCTTTTTTTTTTTTTTTCTTCTCTGTATAGCTGTCTTGGACTCACTCTGTAGACCAAACTCAGGTATCAGCCTGTGTCTGCCTCCCAAGCTCTGAGAATAAAGGCGTGCACCACTACACCTGGCTTTACCTTGTTTTATATAGCATTTAATTTTTTTTCACTTATGTGTATATTTACACAAATGTGGGTTCCTGAAGAGGCCAGATATTATTGGATCTCTTGGAAAAGGAGTTACAAGTAGCTGTGCACTGTCTGATGTTAGTGATTCTAACTACTGAGCCATCTCTCTGGTAACCTTCCTTTTTTGAGACAGGATTTCTACCTGAACCTGAAGCTCACTGATTTGGTTAGCCAATGAAATGTCAGGGATCCTCTTAAAATGAGGTTATGAATCTCAGCTTTTACAAAATTGGGAGGGATGAAACTCAGGTCCTTAAGCTTGTCCTAGCTCTATGGCTTACTCTTTCTATCAGCCCCATTTCTCTTTCAGCATCTGTTAGCACTCAAGTCTGAGATCTAAGTTACTCATGTAAAACCTTCTCCTTAAGCTGGTCAAACTCCATTTATTTAATCATGCCACTTTTTTATTTTGAGACGGGGCTTCTCTGTGTAGACTTGGCTGTCTTTGAACTCAGAGATCTTCCTGCCTCTGCCTCACAGAGTGCTGGGATTACAGGTGTGCGCCACAGTGCCTGGCTAATCATACCACTTCTAAATGCTTGTTAGAATGAAGGAAAAGATTCGCTTTTCAAAAATCTTACAAAGAAAACCATATCTGATGCTTCTTCCACACCATGCATGTCCAATGCTATTTATCCTAGGAATGAATTCCTCTACTAACTGCCATAAAATCATCTTTCATACTCAGATGCCACAATTCAACCTGTTTATTTTCTGACAGTGTTTTCTCTGTATAACCTGAGCTGTTCTTGAACATGCTTTGTAGACCCTGATGTCCTTGAACTGTGAGATTTGCCTGCCTCTGCCTCCTGTGTGTTAGGACTAAAAATGTGTGCCACCACTACTCAGTAGTGACTGAGCAAAGTTCCTTTGAGTTTAACACATATTATTGGGCCACATTAAAATATCAAAACACTTAACAAATCTAGCATAGCAATTACATTTATATCAACTGCTTTGGTTTTCCAAAAATAAATACATTACATAGAAATATACAACTCAGAAAATGTTCTTTTAAACTTCTCTACTGAACCCTAAACTACAGAGTTTACAAAGTAGGGGGAAAAAAGACAATAACAAAAAACCATGAATTATTTCTAGGTTGCCTGTTCTGACAATGATGTAAGGGAAACAAAACCAATTATGGGAGAATGTGATGAGACCGTTATGCTACAGAAACGCCAGATTAGAATAGAGAGTCTATGTTCTCCAGTGGACAATACAAATAGTATTAACAGTAGGCCTTCTTTTACCTGGGTCAGGAGGAGCCTGTTGCTGCCAATGTGGATATGCATTTCCCCATCCCTGGGGAGCATATGGGGCTGGAGGACCACTGGGAGAAAAAAAAAAAAAACACAAATACCATTTCCCAAAGGCCAGTTTTATTTATTTTATGTGTAGGTTTTGCCTGTGCATGTACTGCATGTCCGACCATTTGTATTCCTGGTATTGGTATCAGATACCAAGGAACCAGTTATGAGTGGTTGTGACGCACCATGTGGTGCTGGGAACCGAACCCAGGTTCCACTCCAAGTGTAACATGTGTTTTTAACTGTTGAGCCATTTCTCCAGTTCCCAAACCAGGATCTTTAGGGTAAGTCCAGAATCAACCACATTCAGTACTTACTGAGGAGCTGGGCCAGGTGGTCCTGGATTGTAAGGTGCAGGATTGTACGGTCCCATCGGAGTTCCAGGCCCTGGAGGCCCAGGAGGCCCATGAGGACCTGGAACCCCATGGGGACCATGGGGTACAGGTGGCCCTAAAGGATTTACTGGACCCTGCAAAAAGAAAAAGAAAAAAGAAAAAAAAAAGAAAGACAAACCCCCAACAATAACAAAGACACAAAAACCATACAACACACACTCAAAACAGTATAATCGCTGAGCAACTCAAAGGCTAACTACTCTTTCATGTCTATTTTTAAGTAACAAACTTAAATTTACCTTCCTCTCCTTACGTTGCAAAAAATAAAATGTCAGATTATGACATGGAAAATTCATTAAAACAGCATTAGCAGATTCCCTTTAGCTTTTACTTTATTCAGTTTATTGTTTTATGTTCTTTTACCTTCCTCATGTCAGACAACTAGTCTGCCGCTACACTCCTCAGACTGTACGCGTCTAGGGACACTGATCATAACTCTATAAATAGCACGGAAATTTCCTTTACAGTTGGTAACACATCAAGCTGTTTTACATATTCTTGTCACAACACTCTTTACCACTCTTTCCTCTTATTTGGACGTAGGGTCTCAGAAGATAGCTTTTGCTGGCCTGTAACTCATTTTGTAGACCACGTTTGCCTCAGACTGGTCTGCCTCTGACTCCCAAGCATGAGCCACCTGGCTTCATTTCCTTTTAGATAGGACACCTTGTTAAATCTGTAAGGACCATTACATGTACGTATCCTAAAAGTTTTTTTTTTTTACAGTTAATAACAACATTAACATTTTGAACAAATGCTTACAATTTTTTAAGTTATTTTTAATCTTTTTCCCCAGTGCTGTGTCCTGAATTCAGCACACCACATCCTAGTTCTATCCTGAACATCTATTTTGTGTGTATTTGTGGTGCAAGTGGGGGTGCCCAAAGAGAGAAGAAAGCACAAGAGCTGCTGGTGCCAGTTACAAGTCTTCTGAGAAGTTACTTTTGGTCTTCTAGAAGGGCAGAAGTGCCATCTCTACAGCCCTCTTCAAATGCCCCCCCGCGTTTGTGTATTAGTGTGCACTTACTGCAACCGTGAATATGGAGGTACTTTCAGTAACCAGTCAGCTCCTACCGCCATGAGGCCCCCAGGCAACATTCAAGCCATCAGTTCTGGTTACAAGCCAGTTCCCTTACACACTAAGCCAATTCGGCAGCCTGACAAAATGCCTAAACTACACTTGGTTATCAATTCTCTCAATATCAAACAGATAGACTAAGTTTCTTCCAGCACCTTTCAAATCCCTTTCATTCATTTATGCTTTACTAGGCACTAAACCAAACTGTGAATTAGAACAGTGTTTTTCAGTGATCCAACAGAAACCCTGATTTAGGTCTACTAGGCTAAGAAAAAAGCAAAGATCAGCTGGGGTATGGTGGTACACACTGAGAGAAAAAGACCAGCCTAGTCTACATGAGATACAGTCTCAAGAACAAAACAAAATGAAACCCAAAATGTGTTTATTCTCATCTTTCTGTTTTGGCACCAACTTTTGGCACTGTTTAACTTGCAAACATCTTCAGTTTGTAAACAATTACTATTGTGCATACTATAAACTCTTATCATTTTAAAAAATTATGTGCCCATTCATAATATCAAAGGAGATCTTAAGAATATGGGATCACTATCAGTACTTTTAAAATACTTTTTATTCCTTGAAAATTTCATAACACTTAATATTCACTTCCTACTCCTAACTTCCTCCTGCCTCCCTTTGTGTTTTATTTAAATAACTCACCAAACCCAATTTGTACTGTCCATATACTCAGACACAAGATTACTAATGATTTTAAAAAGCCTTCACTCTTTAAATTAATTTTACATTGTTAAAAATAAAAAAGACCAGTGTAACACTACTTGCCTCATAATAAAACCAAGTCAATGCCAAGTAGTGGTGGCACATGCCTTTACCCTTTAATTCAAGTACTTAGAAGGCAGAAACAGGTAGATCTCTGAGGTCAAGTCCAATCTGGTCTACAGGAGTTCCAGGTGAACACAAAGCTCATTTGTTACACAGAGAAACCCTGCCATGAAGAAAACTAAAAAACAAGTCTCTTATTTGTTGTACCACCGGAAAACCTTTCCAAAACTGACCATGTACCAAAATCACTTGGAAGATTTTTGGTTTTCTGTTGTTTTGATATAGGGTTTCTGTGTAGCCCTGGCTGTCCACCTGCCTCTGTCTCCCAGGCACTGGGAAGAGTAAGTATCTTTGTAACATGGACACTGGGGCCGAGTGGTAGCGGAGCATGCCCTTTAATCCCAGCACTCACACTGGGCTCTATTTATTTTCACTTTCTTTCTGTGTACAGTGCATTTATTTACGTTCAGTCTGTTACCTCCATGTGACCTGTAATATGGGTGCAGGTGCACATATGCTGGTGAAGTCAGGATCAACACTGACATCATTGTCTTTCACTGATTGGTCCTTTATGGTCTCCAAGTGAACACCAAACTCTTTAATTTGGTTGGACTTAAGTTTACAGGGAGCTCCAGAGATAAGAACCATCAAATAACCTGCAGTTCAAACCTCCAATGATTCAGTTAGTCCAAAAGCCAGATATTATACACCTTAACTACTCTGGACTGATGAGGGATGGGGTCTTGTAACTGCATTCTTAATCATGTTACGTCTATTTCTGGACATCTTTCCTGTTGCTGTATGCTATACCACAAAACCTGTAATTTCATACCAGAAATTATACATTTCCCATGGTACCTTTAATTTTTTACAAAAAGTACCAGGAACTACACTATACAGGGAGTTTAGAGCGCACTTACCCCAATCTTTTCTTCTATGAGTTGCCGAGCATAGTCTATTTGCTGTGGAGTGCCCCGAATTGTAAATAACTTCATATTGGGATCCGCATTGGGTGGAGGATTTCTCTGAAGTTCTATTCTTGCACCAGACTGCTGGCTTATGCTTTTTATGGTTTCACCCCCTAAAAATCACAAGACACTAAGTTCTCTTAAGTTCACAGAATGCAAAAACATGTTTTTTTTTTAAAAAAACAAAACCAAAACCCAAGGTATTTCTGGCTCTCCTGGAACTCACAGATCTGCCTGTTTCCGTTTCCTGAGTGCTGAGATTACAGGCACCACTCTAGGCAGAAATACTAGAGGTATTGTGGTGTTTTTTTTTTAATATTAAAACAACTATTTATTTTGGCCATTAAATAAAGTTTGGTAGCATTCCATTGGACAATGTTAAGATTTTTTACTTATTCTGTTCTTCTATCTATAACTCATACAAAATACACTAAAGTCTACTTAAATATATACACACATCCTAATGTGGGTTAGAACAGAAAAATATTTCAATAAACACCTCTTGTATAATAATAATAAAGGCCCCATCTGAATTAGGATCAAGATGTGTTCTCGTACTGATTCTTAGTCCTTTCCTACAAGCTGTTCCAACAGTTTAGTTGCCAGATATTATATCCCTTTCCTACTAAAAATGCATCCAAAAAAATAAAATAAAAATAAAACCGGTATGTTTATAACAGAAGTGTCCAGGAAAATCAGTTATGTCAAACAAAGAATTTGAAATATATTGCCTTTTCCAATTATCAATCCAGTTTTCCCAGTTGGCACAATGAAATTAAATTCTTGTAGTCCACCAGGTGGTCCCATATTCCAGTTGCCTTGACCTCTACCTCGCCCTCGACCACCAGGTCCAGGTCCACCAGGATTACCAGCCTAAGAAAGGAGAAATAAAAACAAAAACAAACAAAAACACCAAACTCTATAATAAAACTATTAGGTTTATTTCCCCTCAACTTTGTATTTCTCAGCAATGAAATTAAGAGATGATTTCAAAAACAACACAACCAAAATATTCAATTGAATAATAACTTCCACTTTTAAAATACACTGGGAGACAAAACAGATGGCTCAGTTTGGGAAGTGACTTCCCTCATAGCCCACTGCGCTCTGAGTTTGATTAGTTTCTAGGACCCATATAATGTAGAACTACCTTCAGAAAATCTTTCTTTGGCTTTCACAGGCACAAATGCCAAGGCACATATACCCATAGTTACAAAATTTCAGATGCGCAGGGGTAAATAAGGTAGAGAGAGCATTTACGCAATTAATTCCTCTACTCTTAAGATGTTTATACCTTAAAGGACCTGAAATGGTTAGCCATTTTAACAGTATTAACAGATTCTGTTATATAACATGAAGGGTCACTTTTTATTGTGATATAAAAACTTTTTCAACGAAAGCAAACTGAAAATGTTAACTTCCTATCAAACCTGAACACTTCGTAGAAGGTCTGTGATAATTTCTGCAGCATGCTGACACCTGTCTGGAGGTCCTGTTATCTGTGCTATCCGATCAGGTGTTGTTCCATCATCTATATAAAAATAACAATGAATTGTGACAAACTGATTATGAGTGTCAAGATTAACAGCTATCAATTCTTAGAACATTAAATAGATCTTAAGCTTACCTGGCTTAAACTGAATTCGAACCCCAGCATCATTTTGTATTTTTTTGATCATTTCTCCATTTCTTCCTATTACAATGCCGACAGCAAATCTTGGAATTGGGACCTTAAGCAAATAAGAGTATACTTAAAAAGACATTTCTCAATACATTATCTCCATGAAATCATAAAAGTACATAATGTCAATCAGTAACAAGATAAAAATATGCCAAGAAAAAAAAAAAAAAAAAAAGAATGTTATGACAAATGCACGTAACTCAAAACAGGAAAAACACTACTGCACTCACAGGATACAACCATTCCTGAGTCAGTTGTCTTACTTACATCTATCCCTTCATTTCCTCCTATTCTTGAGCCATACTCATTCCGTACTTCTCTGAAACCACCTTGATCACGAATTAACTCTAATACCATTTCCTTGGCTTGCTAAAATAGAAAGTTATCCAATTTAGAAATAAAATTATGAGAATATTAATGCTTATTGCCTACTCCCTCAGCTTTTATATATAAATGACAAACTAAGGTTTACCTGAACTTTGTATGGGTCACCCGTAATCCTAAGAGGTTTATCAGCACCAGTGTTTTGAGGCCCATCTTGAATCATAACCATTTTAACACCAGCCCGCTCCTATTAAAATAATACAAGTTAATAAAAATAAAAAGTGCCTTTAAAAGACGCAACAATACTTTTTAACAATATAGTAATACCTGAAGTTGTTTAATAGTCTCTCCCCCTTTTCCAATAACTAGTCCCGCCTTGCTGGCTGGAATCATGATCTCCTGAACTGCATTTCCAGGTCCATCGCCATGATGAAAGCCAGGGGCCGGTCTTCCCTTTTCAACAATCTGGTCCAGCAATCTTTTTGCTGATCTGTTAACAAATTAATCTTCAAATAAAAATGTGTAGCTTAACCAAACATCCCAAAATACCACATAAGAGTCCAGCGGTTTTATCCTTGGTCATGTATCAAGCATACACTAAACGTGTCATGCAGCAGGTGAATTTGGTAGCACTTCTACGTTTGAGAGGCAGGAAGGAGCAAGCCAAGCCAAAAGGAATGTGAAAGGGTAGTAACACAGTGTTTTTAAACCAAAGAAATACAGTAACTTAAAAATACCCATCTACTGTGTCAAACACTTCTGATTTGCTAAATAGTGTATTTGTAGTCTGTGATCCTTAGAAATGTCATCCCAATTGTTAGAATCAAAGTTCTACTGGTACTGAGTTCAAAAGAAGACAGAACACAAGCAGATGTAGGAAGTGCAGACCTCTTCTTTTAAGGCACTGTTAGGTAAAAACAGGTCTACATGCTCTTAGAAATTACCAACAAAAGAAAATATAAAGAATGAAGAAAATAATGTTCAGTTATAGTACAACTTAAAAGTAGGAAGGAACAGTCTTAGGTAAACGAACACAAAAAGGTAGTATATTTCAGAATACGATGAGGAATAATTTCTCACAGGGTCTAAGGGGTTATAGTGGCTTGAAACCATGAGCCAATATGTAACACTATGTAACCTTTGGTCATGGCATTTTGCCATAGCAACAGAAGTAACTCAAGACAGCAAGTCATGCTGGGCAAAGATGAGCATACCTTTAGGAGGCAGAGGCAGGTGGATCTCTGTGAGTTCAAGGCCAGCCTGGTCTAGAGTATGAGTTTCACGACACACAATCAGGGATACAAAATGAAACCCTGACTCAAGGAAAAAAAAGAAAAAGGCTTTATAATTTTCAGTGTCTGTGCACATGTACGTGTGTAAGCAAAATTTTCAGACAGGGTCTCTGAATGGCTTTGAACCCATCAAATAGTGTAGGCTGCCTGTTTCCAACTCCTGAGCAAAGAGATCAAAAACTTGTATTACCATACCAAGAACTTTTTTCGGTTTTGACTCTTAGGATCAAACTCAGTTCTTCCTGCTTAGAAGGCAAGCACCTGAATCTCTGAGTTATCTCCGTAGTCCCTGGTTTTAACAATTTTCTGTGTCTTAGGTTCAGGTGAAAAACTCTATTCAAGAAAGGCATAAACTTTAAAGTGAAAATTTCAATGCAGCCAGTAGAAGATAATGATGCAGAAGTAATGAAAACACAGTTTAGTCTTCAGATTGTTACTCTTATTAGAGTTAACATTTTCAAACTTACTGAACAGATTCAGGCGTCCCAGTTAGCATACAAGACCTTTCTGGAAGGCCACCACTATCTACAATTAAATAAAAAAGAAGAGTTTATGTCAAAAATAGATTTAAAGTAGTACCAGATCTTTAGAAACTTAAACACTCAAGGTTTTCTAGCCATTCTCAAAACTTCAAGGGCTGGGCAAATGGGAGTGGGAAACAATAACAAGAAATTCACATAGAAAAAGAAAAGAATGTTACCAGGAGCTATCTGTATTTTGCATCCAGATTCCTGCTGTATGCGTGAGATCTGTTCACCTCCTCTGCCAATTACTAGTTAAGGGGAAGGAAGGGAAAAAGTTATTTACTATAATAAATTTAAAGTACGGTTTATGTTTTGTTCGTTTTTTTAAATTAATGGTACTTACTAAATCCAACCATTCCATCTGGAACTTTGTATTCTTCTGTCATTACAGATCTGCTAAAAATAACAAAAGTATATTTTAAAAGAAAAATAACGTGCAAATACACATAAAGCGTAATCTAATAAATCCAATCTTAATGACTCCTAATAGCCCAAACTCAGGTTCTTAAATGAGGCAGCCTGAGTAGGATGGTGAACTGAACTGTCTGTGAAGAGTTCAGAATGGTGTTTAGAGAATGCCATTATCATTTATGTTACTCTGTTTCTTCTAAAATGGTCAATTTTGAGCTTTCCCATAATTATCAATTTTTTACTTAAAAAGAAAACCTTCCTATAACATTTCCCAATAGGAAATAAATTATACACACAAAATGGTGCGCATTTTCACTATATACTAACTTGGCTAATTGTACGTACAATTCAACTAAGACTTGCAAAGTAATTAAAAAACAAGTTTTTACTATACCTTTGCTGCTGATGCATCGGAGGTAATTGTGCTCCAAAAGCTGTAGGAAATTTTAAACAAAAGTTCTAAGTACATGTTTACTTATTTACAAGCATACCAAGTACTCCAAACTTTCCTGGTACACACACTGAACAATTAAAAAAAATTCAGACTATTCAAAGAATCACTGATTAAAAGCCATGAAAGGGTCAAATAGATTAGCAATGGCATACAAAGCACTTTTCTTTCAAGTGGCACAGATTAAGAATTGGAGTAGATAAATTATTTACACAATTCAGCAATTAATGTTTATATAAACACGGCCACAATTAAAAAAAAATAGTTGTTTTAAAAAGAAAAAGATATACATTTGTAAGGAAATTCTCGCTAGACATTCTTAATAGCCACCCCATTGGGTATAGCAAGGCAATCCTTAGTCCCAGCACAGGGATACACAAGCAGGTGGATCTCTGTGAGGTAAAGGCCAGTCAGGGATACACAGTTGAGATCTTGGCTCAAAACCAAAATTCCCCAAGCCAAAACCACCCATCCAAAAGTAGGAACAAAGGGCCGAAGAGATGGCTCAGGTGATAAAGAGCACATGATGCTCTTGTAGAGGACCAGGTTCAGTTCTCAGCACCCACAAAGTGGCTTGAAACTACATGTAGTTCCACCTTCAGGGAATTTCCACACCATCTTCTGGTCTCTGTGGGCACCTGCACACAAGTGGTGCTCATAAACCCATAATAGATATGTATATGCATATACACATAAAATAAATTTAAAAGCAGCAACAAAGCCTCAGCTTAAAATACTTACAGTCATTCTGGGGAGCAACTTTCTTAGCATCTGGTTGATCTGCAAAATTAAGTATCTTTTATTTTATTTTTGTCAATGAGAAGGAAAGCTTCCCTCGGGTCTTCCCCCACCCCCAAGCCAAACAAGAATACCAATCAATGTCTATTAAAATACCTGATACCACCTGAACCAAAATTGCCACGATTCAACCTAGACTCTAAACTCTAGGAAACAAAACAAACCCACCAAACCTAATTCTTCCATTCTCTTGTGTTTAAACAATGGAAAGAATAGTCTAGAATGATCCAACACAAAGAATTTAGCTTCAATGCTGGCGAATACCATAAGCTAAAGGTATGCTAATGATGCTTCTTCCACTGTATGGACTGAAAATCAGGGAAAACTATATAAAAATCTGACATATTAGAATGTAAGTGTACCTGACAGTGATCATACAGCTATACCAAAAAGGAAAGCTCAAATAACAAGACAGTTTCTAAACTGTTCCATTATTCCCAAATGAAACATTTCACTACAAAAAGCAAACCTTAACCTCAAAGCAACCACATGATTGCCTTTCTCAGATAAACAAAAGCATACATTAGAAAATAGACAGCCTAAAGCTCAAAGCACAATTATTCTCCCAACTTCAAGGCTTTGTGTAGAAAAAATTCAGACACACAAACCAAGAGACAGTTGTGTCCACTTAAGAATCCACTGGTTTATTTCACGTTTACATACTAAACACAGGTAATAAATAAAAACTCCTGCCTTTAAAAGGAGAGGGCATTCCCTCCCAGTGTGTTGTACTGCTCGGATTTGTCCAAGAGCCATCTACACATAAAATAAAAAGAATACATTACACACAACATCTGAAGCATCATTAGCTCATTTTTTTTTTTTTTTTTTGCATTTTAGAAACCTCACTTGCAAATATAAATGCTCTTAAAAGGAAACCATGTATTCCCAGAAAGGGCTATAAATACATTTCTATATGCTAGTAAAAATCTTTATAAAAGGGCAAAAATAGATTATGAAAATTTACTCACACATCAACACTAAAACAAAAACTGCATCTTTTAAAAAAAACACTATAAACCTGTTTTAATCCATGTTTAAAGTTAAACATGAAACTTAAAACAAAGCACCAAAAGAAATAATACAAAAGTGGGAAAACTCAAACAAGCCTTAACCTTTAAAGTGAATTTTGAAGTAAATTAATGAAAGAGAATATCAGAGACTACTCTGTAAATGAGAAAACTCAGCGTTTCCTAAACAAATTATAATTTTGTTTTGTTTTAACAAGAAGTCTGTGCAAACTCAAACTAAGCATAAGCCTAAAACGGGAGAAAAATGAACTGTTTCTATTAGTTTTCTTATACTCAAATCATACCTACCTTTTCTAGGTCTGTCTTTACCTGCCTTCCTTCTGAGAAACACACACACAACACACAGACACACACGCAGTAGTATTTCTATAAATTATCTTAAACAAAACAAAAAATCTTAGTAAATGAATACTGTAAAAGATAATTATTATTTCTGGTTAAAACTTACCTCCATCTTCTAAGGGTCTCTTTTGTCCCCCATAACTGTAGTCATTTGAATTCAATGATGTACCAGCATCACCCCCAATTTTTGCTGCAATCTTAAAAAGACAAAAATCATCAGAAAGGACACTAACACTTTTATGTACTACTCAGTATTAAATTTCCTAGAACAAAGATACACTATCCAAAAAGAAAATTATGAAGCTGGAGAGATCGCTCAGAGGTTAAGAGAACTGTTTGTACTTCCAAGGGTCCCGAGTTCAATACCCATCAACCACATGGTGGCTCACAACCATCTATAATGAGGTCTGATGCCCTCTTCTGGCATGCAGGCAGAATACTATATAAATGATAAATATTTTAAAAATTATCAAGATTCACTTGTTAGGAAAAATTGAAACTACCAATACTTTAGGGAGCTACCAAATAGTAACAGTCTGGGATTAAGCTCATGATACACCCCTATTTAAAAAAAAATTAAACAAACAAGAGGGGCATAGGAGAGAAGGAGGGAGGGATTGGGAGGAGATAGGGGAGGGGCTACAGCCATGATACAAAGTGAGTAAACTGTAATTAATGAAAAAAATAAACAAAATAATCACCAAAGTAATCAACAGAGCATCTCTTGGACAGAAACATTAAGCTTTGAGAAAAACCTGATTCTGTCTTCTCCATGTCACATTACATCTTTCAAAGGATACATATGGGCAGTCTGACGATGCTGTTTGGTAAGATAATTAGCAGTCAAATCACCTGTGGTTAGTTGAAACATGGCTACCCCAAATTAACAACTTCAGTGAAACAGGCACCGGGCACAAGAAATATGAATGAGCAGAAGAAAGCAAGCAACTTAAAGAAACTATATTCAACACACACCAAATATAATTGGATATGCTGAGTTAAAGCACACAATTTACATATTACTAGTGAGCATGTTCTTTAAGATACAATCAGGAAGATAGGCAGTGCATGCCTTTAATCCGGGCACTCAGGAGGAAGAGCCAGTGGAAGATCAATCAGTCTTGTCTACAAAGGATTTCCACTACAGCCAGGACTACACAGAAAAATAGTCTCTAAAGAAATCACCACACGCAGGAATTCACAGAGTTCTAGTCTTAAGCTTAAAACAAAACAAAAACAATCAACAAAAAACCCAGTTATTTTATATAAATTAAAAGTTGGGCAAATAACTCCCGCATTTAACCTGAAATCACGGTACAATAAACAGCTTTGTATCACAAGTTGGACACAACCAATGGAAATTTACTGTACTTTTGTATGGAAAAAAAAATATTGACAAGGGCCAAATTTTTTAGTATGTTTTATACTCATTATCAAATAGTTTTGATAGACAAGAATTCTTTCCATCACCTCTTCAGTGTGTCTCAAATGATCATGTTAAAAGTCAAAACCAAACTTCCATCGACTGAAATTTCTAAAACAATGATGTGGAACTAACTTTATTATCTCAGTTTATAACCAGAAAACTGAGGGAAGGTTAAGGATGTTCAAGGACTTGGGCCTTAACTCCACCATGGAGCTTTGTTAAGTCACAGATCCTGTATGTCAACTATACCTCCCAGGGTTATTAGATTTCCTTTCACCTACAAATGGAAGCTCCCCATCAGAGGCCCCCAAACACCCACACAAAACTTATGAAAAGGTATACAATTTAACTCTCTAAGACTACACTGGTGATCTAACCCCTAGCCACCCATTATTTCCCCAATTAAAAGCCTATTTCATCTGCGGGTATCTAACCTTCTTTCCTGAAAGTTTTCCTAATCACACTTGGAAACAAATATTTTCCACCCTTTGATCTCAAAACACAGCATTTATAAACTGTACCTTACAGAAGTGAGTGAGCTGTCAGGAACGGACACACACTGATGTTAAAAGGGAAGTAAGTACTTAGCTGGAACTGGTGGCAGATGCCTGCAATCCCAGTACTTGGTGGGAGGGCGGCTGGCAGAAGAGGGCAGATCTGTGAGTTCAAGACCAGCCTGGTCTGTAAAACTCCAGGACAGCCAAGGCTACATACGGTAACCCTGTCTTGAAAAAACGAGGAGAGAGAAAGAGAGAGAAAGTACCAGAGAAGATGGCAAGATGGCATCACTGAGGAAAATGGCTTAGGCTGTGACTACCTTCTACAGTTAGTTTTTTATAAATACTTCTGAGTTTACTGAAACTCCAAGAGCCATCCATTAGAAGATTCCATTCATGTAATAGTTCTATAACTATACAAAAGAAAAATCAAAGTTGGTACTTGGTTCATTCAAAAGAGCAAACAAAATTTCAAAATACTGAAAACTGACAAAGACAACAGAACACAACCCAGCAGGTATTTCTCCAAAATTAATCTTAGAGATTTTCTCTGTAACTACAAAGATGAAAAGAAATAATCCTTGACAAACAATGCCCATCAAAGCCCCCATGGGGTATGTGTGTGGGGGAATAATATGGTCTCATTCTATAGCCCAGGCTGGCTTTTCTAGTCCCAACTTGTCACTGTCTGCAGCTATGAACTCTATCAGTAACACATTTTTATTAAACATATACTAAGTGTGGGTAATGTTTTTTATTTTAATCCACAGAAATAATTAAAGCTTTCCACTTAGATTTTTGCCCTACTTTATGTATTTTTGTGTTTTCATACTTTAAGCAAAATCAAACCAAACCAGCATTTATGACCTCCTTCACTGAGCTATCCTTAAAATTTTTGAAGATTCTCAGAAGATAATTATCAGAAAATGTCTATTTTCTAAATTTCAGTCTGCACTTTCCATAGTAATTAAAGAGTGGAGGTGAAAATCTAGTGCTTTCTAGAACAGTGACTTTGTCAAATTTTCAAGTATTATGAGCCTTATTACATCTTCACAAATGGAAAACTACAGGTAACTTCTACATCTGCCTTACAGAATTGCTATGAAAATTAAATGAACCAACTCAGGATATGGTAACGCATACCATACTCTCATCAACGCATTACAATACGTAATTCAATCCCAAAGCAGGGTCCACAGCAACGTTCAAAGTTTTGTTTTTGAAAATTTAACAATGTTTTTATTTATCCTCAAAGACAGCTTTACTAAACTTACAAAATTCCAGCATTCAGGTGGCTGAGGCAGACAGATTCTCAAAAAGAATCCTGGAGGATAACAAGATAGCAGGAATCTCTATATCCCCAGGACTCAACATATCCAGATTATATACTTTAAAAGAAAATCATTTTTAAAACAAAATCTCAACTGGGCATGGTGGCACACACCTTTTATCCCAAAGGCAGAGAGGCAGGCCTGGTGAGCTACACAGTGAGACTTTTGTCTCCTTAGCATTTTAACACATTAAAGATATCTGTTGATTTAAATTAACACTGTGTACCTAAGTTATTGCACACTCAGAATGTCTAGAGATGTGATAGGCACTATTAACTATAATAAACACACTATCATAATCGATGCTGCTAGTAACCAAAGCTTTTTCTAATCTACTTTCTCATGTCCCCACTCTTCCTCCTAGTCAATTCTATGCTCCAGTTTACTTAACTCTTGGGTTGTCATCTCAGAAACTCCTGACCTTTGTACACGCTGCTGCTGCTGCTTTTTCTTGGCCAAACTCTCACTCCTTACTGCAATGTATGAACTTAGTCTGGAGTGAGTGAGTAAGGCATCTTTTTCCAGTATCCTATACAGTGCCTGCCTCAAAGCATTAACCTATCTGTTCATTGGTATTTAATTCCTTTATCAAATGCACACTTAAAAAATCTCCACAGGGGTAGGTGAAAAACACCAGTTAAGCACTAGGGAGGATTAGGTAGGATGCTTTAAATTCCAGGCCCGACTCTTCATCACATTTTTTTTTTTCCTCAGTGAGGAAAAAACACTTACCTCAGTGAGGTAAAGACACTTATATTTAAGTCTTTCTACTTATATTTGACCAAAGGGGCCTACATGGTAAGAAGAATCAACTCCAAGTTGCCCTCTGACTTCTATATACACACCATGTCGCTCACTGAGCCCTTCTCCATTAATAAGTAAAACTAAGTAATTATTATAATATATAATACGCAAATTGATATGTAAATAAAATATATCATGTAATGATATATAATAATTATGTTGGCTTTTCAAGAGACAAGTAACCCTGGCTGTCCTGGAACTCTGATCTGCTTGCCCCTGATTCCCCAGCGCTTGGATTAAAGACCTGTGCCACCACCGCCTTAAATATTTTTTTCCAGTATGCTAGTTGAATAATAGACTAGTAATCTTCCAACACGTGGCTGCCTATCATGGTAGATTTGATAAACCTTGATTGACTCATTAACCTTTCAGTTCTGACCAAAATAATAATAATCAGGGGATAAAGTTCTAGTAGAGTCAAAACTGGCTTTAATAACCATTCGTTCGACGTTCAATACTAGTATAAAATGTTTAACTCCTACAAGAGAGTGCCATAAGATTTATTCTAGCTTACATACAAATCCCGTGACACTTTTTTGAGACAAGGTCTCTCTTGGTCGTCCTGACTGGCCTCAAACTCAGGAGATCTGCCTGCCTCTGCCTCTAGAATTCTGGGACTAAAGTCGAGCACCATCACACCTGGCAAGGCAACATTAAAACATTCTTAAGCTACAAAGAAATCAAGAGTCCACCTGAGAACATTAACGCTCAGATTAAGAAAAATCATCAAATACAAGCACTTTTATCTTGCCAATCCCGTTCATCTGGGAAAGCGCTTGCCTTCGGGGCAACAGTACGTCCCTACGTAACACAAAGAAGTTGGAGGTTTCGACTCAGGAGAGGCAGATTCAAACTGAAAGCTCGGATAGAACGCGCCTGAGGCCATTTTGAGGTTGAGGAAAGGATTGGTGGAATGACAAATCCCGCCCCGGTCTCCCTTGTAAACGGGAAGGTGAACGTTACTTAAATTACAGTGAGGGACCAGAGCTCGGCGCAGCGGGAAACGGTGGAGACCGCTAAGCCAAGCCCTTGCCTGCCCTGGTCGTGACCCAAGCTCCCCGAACCTGCCGCACTAGTTGAGGCGACACGCACTTTGAGAAAAGGAAATAGAGCCGAGGGAAACGGGGTTCAGCGTACTTCGTGGACAGGCCGTGGGCGGAAGTGGAAGCCCTGCGGCCACGTTTGGGGAGCGCGCGTGGGACGGGGGCTTCAGCCCAGACCGTAGCCTCGGGTCGGGCCTCGAGGCCGGGACCCCGTGACAAAACGCCGTCTCCTCGGGACGCAGCCCGGAAGGCGAGCTCGGCGAGGCCTACCCCGCCGGCGGCTCTCGGGAAGCGGCCGCGCGGTCCACGCTTACCTGCCGGGCTCTCTGCAGGGCATCTTTGAAAGCATCGTTAACTCCGCCGCCGCCGCCGCCACCGCCAGCTGAGCCAGACGAGGGCGGGGGCACTGTTGAGTAGTCGGCCATGCCCACGCTACAGCAGCCGCTCCCGTTCCCTCGCGAAGGTCCTCTCTCAGCTAACTGCTAAGAAAGAAAGAAGATGGCGGCCGTCTAGGCTCTATCACATTCTTGCGCGACCATCGTGCCGTAAAGGGGCGGAGACTGGGAGGCGGAAATCCCGCGATGCTTCAGAACTAACACGCAGCTTGTGGGAGGGGGCGGGTGCTGAGACCCAACGCCAGGCAAAGAGTATCGCGAGACGTGACTAAAATCCCGCGAGAGTAGGGTTTATCTCGGTGCCTCGTTTCCGTACGTTTGCGGGCTATTGTTCCCTCGCCTTGGCGGTCGGTACAGTGGCTGCCGCTGCGAGTGCTCCTGGGTCATAGTAAACTTGAAGGCAAAGGCGGAATCTATAGTAGTTGCGGCCTCAGCGGCCTAGTGTCCTCCCGTGCTTCCGTAGTGAGAGGCTTGACGTCGCCGGGCGTGGACGTCACGCAATAGTGTCCCGCGAGTGCGCGGCCCGTAGGCCGAGGGCCGCGCGGGGTCACCGCGGCGACGCTGCGGAACCGTCTGCGGCCCGGCCCGGCGGGGCCCGGCATGCTTCGGGGTGCTGAGCTGCCGCCTCCTGTGACTTCCAGACCGTCCCGCCACAAGCGGGCATGAACTCAGACCACGGGGCCCTTAGTTCTCGAGCTGGGTACCTACCGAGTTTATGTGTAAAATAATGTGGGTGAGCGGATGGTGAAATTATGACCGCCCTTTGTCCCTTAAAAACGTGAGTGTTGTAAAATTCGGTATTCGACACCTAGTGCTGTCTGTCTTTGGCCAGGCTGTGTCCATGACAGTGAACATTGTCCTGTTCTTGACCCAAAGCCTGACTTTGTTTTCCCCGCCCCGCTGCGGGTAATCAGATAGATGTAAAGTTTTGAATTTTCATTTCCTGACTAGATGATGGGGTGGGGGTGGTCAGCTCCTGATATTTGCTGTATGTGCCAATTAACCACATTTCTTTAGACCGTTCCTGAGCATGTCTCAGGCAATCTGGCTAAGGCTGACAATTACTGGGATGAATTGGGGGTTCTCAATGACGCTCCCTCCCCAATTTAGCTAACAAAGGAATGGGGTAAAACAGACTTTCTAACATATGGCATCCCTCAGTTAGTGTAAAAAGCATTTTTTTTAAGAAGCCTTTTTCTTACTACCATAGAATGACAGAAGTTCATGCTTCTATCTTTCTGATAACTGAAAACTAATGTGCCCACTTGTTAAAGACCCATTATAGACCAGTTACCAAGTCACACGCTTGCATATACAAACACCATGATTTTGTTTAAACCAGCGCTGTCTTGGCCATTTTATAGTTCAGCTCATCCTTTTTACGTGTTCATAGCTATCTCAGAATGTTCGCGGATTTGGAAAAACAGTAAAGGTATTGGGCTGTAGACTTAATCATAGCACTATAAGAAATCTATAGAAGCAATTGCTAAGGAAAAGTTCACTCATATTTTGAGAAAGTTTGCCCAGCAAATAGCACTTATTCATCAGTAATTTTTTTATATCATTAATTAGATTTGTATACCATTAGTTATTCTGATTAAAATAATTTGGAGTATTATTTACTCCCCTCTAACTTAATCCATATACACCATCGTTTAGGTGGTTTTTGTTGTTGTTGTTTGTTTCTTTTTCTAAATAGTGAAAGAACGTTCATTTCTAATTTTTTACAACATATGTATTGGAAATGCGGATATTCTAGAATGGAAGTACATCGTAATCAGTGTAGATGAAGATTTCTTAACCTCAATACTATTGAGTTTTTGAGCTGAATAATTCTTTGCTGCATGCCTTGAATATTATAATATTTAGCAGCATCTTTGGCCTCTACTGCCCTCAATGCCAACACACCCTTCTTAAGCACCACCAGGTGTAATAACTGAAAATACCTTCAGTCATGGAACTTAACAGCTTGAAAAGCTTCTACTCATTGTGAACCATTGGTTTCCTTGATTCCTGTCCCTGCCTTTCCTTTGGCCATCAGGAAGATTATATTGACCATATTGCCAGTGTATGTTCTAAGGTCCAGTACTTTTTATCCCTGCTGCTTCCAGCCCTGGCCCAAGTTACCCATCATTATAGTCTCCTACCAAAAGGACACACTTGAGGTTTTGCTCCTTCCTGTTTATGTGTCTCTTAAAAAAAAAAAAGTAAGGAATTTGTGGGGCTGGAGATGGCTCAGCAGTTAAGCACTGGCTGTTCTTCCAGAGGACCATGGTTTAAATGTTCCTCCCATCCACATGGCAACTCAGAACATCTATAACTCCAGTCCCAGGGGAACCAATGTCCTCTTCTAACCCCAGTGGGCACTAACACACACTTGGTACATACACATACAAACAAAACACTTGAACATGTAAAATAAAAGGCTTTCAAAAATTAAAGTTTGTACAGAGATATAACAAATATATAAGGATTCAAAAGTAATGTACCCAGCATAGAGGCATGTCCTCCAAGGACTATACTCTTACCCCCCTTTTTGTAGCTCAAGCATCTCTTCTTCCTGACTATTACAATCAATCATGATTTCTTGGAAACAGATCTGCCCTATGTATTTCTAGTTATATTTTAAGCCTTTTCTCTAGAAAAGCTCCATCTAATGAGATCTCCACACATTTCTTCCTCTCACTCCACTCCAGCTATTTGTCCACTTTGCTATCCAAGATTTCCCTGCTTTAGTCTTTATTCTTCCTCTTACCTGTGCCTGGATACTCTTTAGCCTTTTTCATGCATGATTATGAAACAGTAACTTTAAAAAAGTACTTTTCCAGGGATTGATAACTTAATATTAGGCAACTGGATTCATGTGTTCAATGTGTAGAACGCAAATCATCTTGTTTTTGTAATCAGGATCTCTACTTTCACTTTATAAAATTTCCTCCTGGAAATTGATTCTTAGGAAACTGAGTATCTTTACTAAATAAATCCTTAAGTAAAGATGGGTGGATATCAGATTTAAGACTCACTTGGGACAACAGTTTTGTTTTTAGTAAAATTTTGTTTCTCTGATGACATTTCCATTTCTACTTAGAGCTGTGATCATTCTGGAATTTGCCTTCTGATTCTCATGTTTTTGTATTTTTTTAATTGGTGATTTTATTCATTTTGAAAATGTTTTTAAGGAGACATGAACTTGAGAGGAAAATAGAATTTTTTTACACAAAGCATCTGAAGTTGCGGTTTCCTGTGATTTATTAGTCATTACGTGTGCAATTTTGTCTAGTTGTAGCAATTAGGACTATAAATACTTCTTCAGAATCAAGTGGTAGTCTTTGTTTTTGTTTTATTTTTCTTATCAAGACAGGATCTTGTATGGCCCAGGTTGACCTTGAACTTAACATTGACACCTAGTAGGACACCTAGTAGGTATGTCAAAAAAAGAGCTGAGTATTTTGCTGGAGTCTGGGCATGCCCAGTAAACAATAAAAACACCACCTTTGAGAAGATACTCTTAGTCTATAAATGTCAGTGAAATCATGAGTTACTCTGTCAATTCTCCATTTCCTTTCATCCAGTTATTTCCATCAGTCTAGTAGTAAAAGTCTGTAGCTCATTAAACAGTGGATTGAAAGATTGGGATAGGAAAACCCTAATGATGAGAAAGGTCATTTAGCACACACATTCTTCATTCTGTAAATAACTTCATGAATGCTCACTGATGTCATCCCAGTCCTTAGTCTCTGTTTAAACCTAGTAAAGAGCTCAGCCAAGTCACAAGAGGAGCCTTCCTGTCAGATCTGACAGCACTGAGTGCACCTCACAGTGTGGCCCAAACTCCATACCCTAAAGCTCTAGTTCTTTGTTTCTGATCCTGTTCTCTATAGGGCATGAACTCCTTAGAGCACTGGCTCTGTTAGAGTCAGGAGGGGTTATTAACAAAACCATAGCATACATGCAATGAACTTGCCTTCCCCCAAAGCTCTTACTCTTATATTCTCTTTGATTTCTTGTTCAGCCCAGAAACCAGCATCTGCTACCACTCCTAACCTCCACATCTACCTGACAGTATCCCAGGTGTGTCAGATAATGTGTGCTACATACACAGCTTCCTTCGGTTTCCAAAGATGTATGAGATTACCTCACTTTCAGGATTTTATGTCTGATACATTCCTCTACCTGGTATATCCTACCACATAGGTACATGGCTGTCTGCTTCTCCATTAATTAAGCAAACCTTCATCTGTAGGGTCTTACATTGTAGTTGGGGGAGGTAGCCAGGAAAGTTGTTACAACACAGTATTTAGGAATACAGTCAAGCAATAATACTTTCCATATAGAAGTAGTGTAACTGAGGAGATTATTAACACAATTATAGACTTTGCCTTCAAATGTCTTACTCTTACATTCTCTTTGATTAGTAACAGTTACACACACCTTTGTTCAGCCCAGAAAACCAGCTCCTAACCCGCACATCTAGCAGGTTGGAAAACTGTACAGAATCTATTTAAAATATCTCCTTTGTCTTTATTTCGTACGCATTTTACTTTAGGTTCTGTAGTTAACCATTTCTGTTTATTCATTCACCAAAAGTTTATCAATGTGTTATGCAAAGGTCTTGTGGTAGAGATGACAGGATAGGGAATGGAAGAGAGGAGGAGGAAGGGCTGGAGGGAGATCCCTTGGGAGATTACAGCCTAGTGAAAGAATTTATGTAGGGTAATAAGCGAGAGCTGATTTCTGGCGACAAGTGTGGATTAGGAGCCTAACCAGTCAGAGTCCACAGCAGCACCACTCTCAGAGGCTGGGAAATTAAGCTCCATGGAGAGTTTCTGCAGTAAAGGATACACTCACTTTAAATACAACAAATATGTCAAAGGCATACTATTCGGGTGCAGGTGTTTCTGGTACTGCTCAGAATTTTTTTGTTTAGGCTGATAAGAGTTCATCGGTAGTGGCACATCTTTATACAGTTAACCCGAATTTCTTGCCAGTTCTGTATTTATGAATTTACCTACTTCACAAAATTTATTTTTATGGCCAGATCAGTTTTCAAGATGATTGGAGTCATTTGAACAGGCACACATGTCAGAGTAGCAATGTGAGTTTTATGAACCAGCTTCAAGTTGAACAAGTCGGGCTTTGAATTTTTTTAAAATTTTTATTTAACTATTTTATGAGTGTGCACTCATATGCCAGAGGTTAAGATGGGGTTCTTTTTTTTTTTTTAATTCTCTCTCTCTCTGAGATAGGACCTCTCATTGACCCTGCAGCTTGCTGTTAAAGCTTTCCTGGCTGGCCAGTGAGCACGCAGAGTCTGCCTGTCTCTGCTCCCACAGCACTGGGATTAAAGATGCACACAGCCTGGCAGCTTTTGTGTGAGTGCTGGGAATCTGAGCTCAGAGCTTTACACTTGCTCAGCACTTGCGCCATTTCTCCAGCCTGTCAGGTCTCTGGTATTATTGTTAGCTCTTTACTGTAAGTGCATCCTTTTCAGGGTTTATTTAGTATAACTTTTTTTTTCTTTTGGCACTTCTGTTTAATTTAAAAAAAAAAAAAAAAAAGCAGTTTCACCATTAAATGGATCCCACGCACAATGCTAAAGAGCTTATATGTCTAGAGGCTGTGATGTACCTGATGGAGAAAATACATGTTAGGTAAGTTCATCAGGCACAACTTATGCTGCTTTTGCCTGTGAGTTAGTGTCAGTAAGTTAACAGCATAAAATAGGAATCTGTACGTAGGAATACATATAAAAAGGAAGTTATTTGTCAGGGTGTTTGA